AGTTGAGTCCCAGCTAGCTCATATACGTTTACCATGATTATTCAAGCTCAGCTTCCTCCTAGAGAGAGGCTGACTCTAAATTGGAAAAGTAAGTAGGGTTTCCCTTACTACTTTTTGCATTCTTACACTGAGATACAATTTATGAGGCAACTGCATTAAAGAACAATGATACATCCCCAGCTTCTACTTCCAGATATTGGACAAGAGAGGATACTTGTTTGGAAAGTTGGCATAAGGCATTTTTGTAAAGAATACAATGTTTAGGCTTCGTTTGCCTCATAAATCTGCTGGGGCTGGGCTGGACGGTACTGACAGTCTGATTCCTATGATTCTGAATCAGATTTTAAGCCCGACACTAGGTCACCACATTGGGGCGAATGAATGTATGTTGCACATAGTGCTGAACTTTGTTTTTTAAAGGCACCAATCTCTTAAATTTATGAGAGATGCATGCAAGGTGCCACGTTTGAATCTCACCTTTCGCTGGCCCCACAGCCTGCCTGAGGCCAGAAAGTTTTCCATGATCCACTTTTGATCCTAAATTGACAAGCTTGGAGGCAGGTGAATGAACTATATCATCCCCCTGGACCTTGACATCGGCTGACCAATATTAGCTTATTACTGCTCGGTGAATGTGTTAGGGGAACCTTGTATAGCACATGAAAATTTGTTGACATTTTGACTGTACTTTGTCAGCTTCTGGGAACTATGCTATTTTCCTTTGTAAACTACCTTCATCCTTCTCCGTTGAAGTGGCTGATGCAGGGAATGTACTAACGGGGGCTTTTACCTTCTCTGGCTTTCTTTAACCATGTAAGTGGCTCCCAGTATCTACATTATCGATATGCACTTGCCAACATCTGGAAAAGGTGGGCTTCTTGGTAAATAGTTGTTGACTTATGATAGAGTCAAACATAGAAAACCAGTTCAGAACTTGGCCTTGATTTGCCTCTTCTCATGAAAGTAAAATTATTCTCACTGTGAGGGACAGGGCTTTGGACCAAAGCTTCCCAAGGACTTGAATACATTTTACTCAAGGACTTGAATACATTTTACTTGCTGTCTTGTACCAGTTCAGTAGCTAATGTGGTACCTGAATAGAGATTAAAAGCTTTAAAGGCCTTGGGTAGAGTAGGACTCAGAACCATTGCCCTCTCTCAAACCAAAAAGTATTTCCAGGGGACACAATAAACATCAGGGAATTGTTAACCGTAGATAAGATTTATCTAGATGGCAACATTAGGAAAACTGTCACAGGCACGATTTACTTATTTAGCACCTATCACCAAAGACTTTTATATGTAAGATGCCATTTGCTGATTTGATTGATGCCCATAGAAACTCAGAGAGTTGTTAGGAGCTTAGCCTCAGCAGTGGAAATACTGGGTTTGAACTCTGGTCCCGTATATTGGGGATGTTTCGTGTATGTATGTGTAAATTCAAAAGTATTCTGTGTTAATAGTTGGCCTTAGGAAGATGAAGAAGTCACTAACAAATGAAGTATAAATCTTGGTGGGAACTGGGTACCCCCTTTTAAAATTTGAATGTCTTTGGTCCTGGGTCATGGTCATGGTGCTGGCTCAGAAATTGTAGGACAGAGCATCCTGCAAAACCAAGAAGAAATCAAGTGATAGTCATGCAATTATAATCCTTCTCTGACTTTATTCACTTTTCAATGTTACGCTAGTGAATTTTGATGATTCCCACCCACTCTGTGAGAATGTGCATACTTTGGAAATTTGAATTTATCCAAATAAGCCTCCTTGGAGTGTTGGCAGAAGAGTTCTCAACTCAAAGCTCTGTCCGAACGGGTCTGGTTTCAAACATGCTCACTTGGGGTTTCCTCTGTGCTATTCCAGACCACATAGGTAGTCTTGTTTCTGAGAGCTGCCTTAGGGATTCAGGTGTAGAAGGTGGTGGGTGGTAAATGACTGGGGATTGATTTTCTTGGTTCTGCTATTTCAGAAGTCTGAGATTTTCACAAGAATCAGCAAAACCAGGAGTGAGGGTTGGGGGAATAGAGGAGTAAGCCTAAAACTCCCTCCCCTTATATCTTTTCTGACTTAACACAGTTCTTGGATCTGTTCTGTGCTATGGCCTATCACAGAGGACTATTTCAAAAGGGAAATAAGCCACAGCCTCACAGGATAAGTCTTTAACACCAGCAGTGAAGTGCGACTCTGAGCCATGGGAGGCAAAGATGATACTGAAGCCACCATTTCTGATGGGGGTTCCTGTTCTCAGGATGTGTGGAAGCTCAGTCCTAAGGGCTTCTACATGGTGTAGTCAATCTAACTGCATGTCTAGCTTGGCAAATAGTGTTGAAAGGTTGAGGCTTTGGGGGCAAATCAGATCACAAAGCTGATGATGGAGGGCAGTTACAAAATTTAGACAAAATTAAAACTGGACAATTCCTTAGCTCCTTTTGCAAGAAGTCTCTAAGGAAGTGTAGTTTGAGTGTTTCTCTTGAGATTTAAGCACTCATTTCTTTTCCTTTCTTTTTTGGGTTGAGTATTCTCTAAAGACAATCAGAGGCCTGTGAGGACAGGACTTCTGGCAGGTTCCAGCACTGTCCTGAGGCCTCTTTCTAATACTAACTTGTTGGAACTGATGCACTTTGTTTAATGTATGTTGTTCTTTTATTTTTACTTTTTAAGCTGCTTGTTTGGAACAAAATGAAATGCATATTGCGTTGTATCCTTGCTTGCTGTTTTTCTCTTAATTTTAAAAGTTAATGCATTGGGAATAAAATATACTTAAGGAGAAATATGCACAAGAATACCTATTTAAAAAAAAAAACTTCCACCAAGTTTGATGTTATTTCAAGGGGTTAAAAAAATAACTATTTTGGATGAATATTTTGCGTGAGGTTTTTGGTGGCTTTTTTTTTTGTAAATAAGAATGTATATAAACTTGTGGTATATTATGGCAGTTCAAAGTGGTTGTGAGAAAATGAAAGCAGGTCTTAAGCTATGTTTAACTTCATTCAACAGCAAGAGGGCTTCTTGCCAAGAGTAAATCCTTCAAAAAAACTTTCCAGCGGGGCCTCATAGAATCATCTCCGAACGGAGGAGAATGTTCCTACTTTAATAAAATGAACTTTTCTAGAATTCTCCCCCCTCTCCTGCTGTCTGGGTCTTTTCCTCTCCCAATTTAGGTACTTTTGTTGCAGTTTAGGAAAGGTAGGAAGAGCAGTGACTGCTCCCGGCACTGGGCACTCTGCTCCTGATCTCTGAAGATGCTTCTTGTTCCACTCCATTCCTCCGGTGCAGCAGCAGACAGGCCTTAAGGATTCCTCCGCCTCTGGATGTGCAGAGCAGTGCTTTGTCAAGAACTCCATTTTTCAGCTCTGTGTGCAATTTTCCTTGAGCTGTTTGTGTCTTCAAGCAACCAAGAGTCTCCTTATGCCCATCCACAGTCTCTTCTGCTTCAAGTACACATCCTCTGGTTTGGCTCTCTCTCAACATGGACTGTTCACTGTTGAGCATCCCCATAAGAGACCTTCTTAGACTTAAAGACAGTAATGCGAATTTCCCTTACCTATTTATTTCCTTCACCTGATTTCCTGTATTTTCCCATGGTCAATACTTGTGGAGAATTTTAAATTTTATAAATTAAAATTCAGTTTAATTTAAAAAGCATTGTGTTGCATGTTCTCTGTGCCAGGCACTATGTTGGACCCTAGGGTGAATAAAAACCAGTTCCTGCCCCCAGGAGGCTCACAGTCAGCTGTGACCGTGTCTAATTTAGCAGTCTGACAAGTTCCAGTGGAGCAGCACACACGAGGGCATGTGGAAGTGCCGTGGGGAGAGGGAGGTCAGGCAGGCCTCGAAGCATAAATAGCCATTCATGGAGCAGGGAAAAGGAGCCGTATTCCATGCAGCGGGAATACCACGGGAAGGCAGAGGTGTGAAAGCGCATTGTAAGAGGGCTGGAGAATTGGCACTGGGCAGAGCCATTAGCATTTTTGTTCTCTGGATAATGAGGTTAATATTTCAGTTAACCAAGAAAGCTTTTGTATGGCATTTAACTCGTGTAATTCGCATTTCTTGGTGGCTTTTAGGGAAAATTTCCCTAGATAGGGTATTTATCATCCTACACAAATGGAGTCCTGTGTCTACTGGAATAACACCATGTGTGCACTGGCATTAAGTGGATGGATGCAGCGGGAAGGTCAGGGACTGCAGCACCAACAAGAGATGCCCGGAGAGACGCCAGGAGGGGTTGGGAGGGTAGTAAGGGAATGTGGACTAGAGGCCCTATTCGAGGTAGAGAGCAGGCTCCAAGGAGCCAGAAAGGGTTAGGTGGGAGGAAATGCGTATGTGTGAAGAGAGGTGTTGGAGACGCTGGCAAATACAAGTTGACTTTGTTTTATGAATCACGTTCAATATAAAAAAGGTAGAGACATGATAACATATTTTCAGTATAAGCCTTGTATATTTCTAAGTGAAGGCGACTGGATGGAAATGACAATTTAAATTACATTTAGCAGAGAAAAAGAAGAAAGTCGACGAGGGCTGACTGGTGACTCTAAGGTAAGCCTGTGGCCAGGACACCGGTATGAACGAGGAAAGCAGAGGACGCATAGGAAGGCGTATGCCTCCGTGCTGAGCCGTGGGTTGTTTTCCTCCACAACGAGCGTCAGAATAATCCAGGCTGCTTTCCGAAAAATGCAGATGATCCGGCCCTGTCTCAGGGCTACTGAACTGGAATCTGAGGGTGGAAACCAGGAGCATTTTTAATCAATTCTGCAGGATATGAAGGATTTATCTTGGAGAATTTAGTCCCAGACCGTCCCTGCTCCTGCCCTTCTGACGTGGAGCTGGCGATCCCGGGGCCGCTTTCCCACTCCTGAGTTTGCTCCCCCGGCTCACCTGGTCCCACCTGTGACCCGAACTCACGGCCCCGGCCGGAGCCCCGCCCCCCGAGGGGAGAGCCCCAGCGGCCCGGGCCCGCCCCACGCCGCGCCGGGCCAATCGGGCGCTGCGATCTCAGACGTCGGGTTACGCGCGGTGCTGAGTCGGCGGCGGGGCGGAGGTGCCGGCTGGGACTCCGGGCTCCGGGCTGGGGCTCCGGCTCGCGGCGCGGCCCCCGCAGGCAGCGTGGCTGGGCGGACCGCGGCGACCCCGCTCCTCCGCCGGCTGCGTCATGCAGGGCCCTGCGGGGAATGCGAGTCGCGGGCTGCCGGGCGGGTCCTCCACCGCCGCGTCCGGGGCGGGCCGCTGCGAGAGCGGCGCGCTCATGCACAGTTTCGGCATCTTCCTGCAGGGGCTGCTCGGCGTCGTGGCCTTCAGCACGTTGATGCGTGAGTCCGGGACCCCCGCCCCTCCCGAGGCCCTTCACCCTGAGTCGCGGGCCCAGGCCTCTCCGCGGGGACCCTCCTGTATGCAGAGTTCAGGCCTGGGGACCCGGGCCCTTGGGCGGAGGTGCCTGCGCCCTTTGAACCAGCCGGGCATTCCGAGGACCCGGGTCCCGAGCCCCTGGCTCTGTCTGTGCAGCCTGTAGCCACGGGTCCCCCTGCTCCTCTCCTACCCCCGCACACCCCTCTCCTGAGATGCCCGCCTAAAACGCGCTGCGCTCCCACCTGGTCACCGCGGATTAAGGCTGACCACTTTCCACCTGGGGCCATGCCCCTGTCGGAGGCTCTGCTCAGCCTCCCCTCCGCGCTCATAACCCGCATCTCTAAATCCCCAGTTTGACACGGAGCTTCTTTCCTGCACCTACACTCAAAAGATTGCTGTCTCCCGTTCGTATTTAAATCCCGCTGCTCTGCAGTAACCTGATTTGTTAGCCGGGCATTGCATTCCCTGTGCTACCTCCTCCCCTCCACCCCCTCCCACCCGGAACTGCTTTCTCCGGTTTATTTTCTGTTTTGATAGGGGCAGGGCCCACCCGGACTCCCTTCTGCACATTTCCTTTTCTTCCAGAACAGGCGCACCTGAACCATCTCTGTCCCAAACTTTCCTACTTAAGTCTCAAGCCTCCCCTGGCTCTTCCCTTTCCCAGCCCACTTTTATTATTTATATTTCAAATGTCTTTCCTTTTCGTGAGACTTGGGCAACCTAGTGGCTTAATGGAGAAGGAGGCACAGAGGGCCTGGGAGGTCCCCGAATCCCTGTACGAAGTCACCAGGGGCCCATCCCCGAGAGTTTCATGACGGACAAAAAAGCCCCAGACGGCCCCTCTGGAAAACTAGGTTTTCCACCCTGCTGTCATGGGTGCTGCCGGGTGTGTGTGTGTGGGGGGGGGGGGGGGGAAGGGGGGAGAGGGGTGGGAGGAGGGAAGGGGGTATATTTTCTTAGTGCACATCCTTCCCTTCATTAAAGTAACAAGAAGCTTCTGTTGGCTTGTAGGCCTATGAGTGTCCCTGCGATTGCATTTTGGGGGAAGGGTTATAACTACCTGGATAGCGGCATTAATTCCAAAATGACTTGCTCTCATAAGTTCCTCACTGTGCTCAGGGTGGGAAGTTCCTGCAGAAAAAACTCCCTCCGCACCCAGGGGGATCCTGCAGCAGGTGCACGTGTCTTGTTAGGTCCAGTGGCTGGAGTAGCCCCTTTGCTTGTTTGTAACATGGGGCTCATTTGGGTGAATTCTCCCAGGCTCTAGGTATCTCTGAAGAGACTGTTCTTGCACACCACTTTCTTCTGGTCGCCTGGCCTTGATAACTCTTGTAACAAGTGCCCAAGTGTATATGTCTGCCACGTTTTCATTTCAGTGTCTACTTGCCTTGCTATTTTCCTTGCTAAACAATTACCCACTTGTTCCCACAGTAGTAATTTGTGACAACAGAGCCAAAATCAGCCGCTGACTTGGGTGCTTGAACTGTGTGTGTTTTCACGACATTGTGTGTGGGTCCTCACTCCCCTCCCACCTCGCTCCTCCAGCTGGCCTTCCTTTCTCTCTAAGGCAGTGGTTCTCAACCTTCCTGATGCCGCGGCCCTTTAATGCAGTTCCTCATGTTGTGGTGACCCCCAACCATAAAATTATTTTCGTTGCTACTTCATAACTGTAATGTTGCTACTGTTATGCATCGTAATGTAAATATCTGATATGCAGGATGTGTTTAGGCGACCCCCGTGAAACGGTTGTTCGACCCCCAAAGGGGTCGCGACCCACAGGTTGAGAACCGCCGCTCTAAGGGAACTGCAGGCTTGGCTGTTATTTTGTTCTCTAACCTAAGCTTTCTTAGCTTAGCTCTGGCTAATTTTTGTGCCTTTGGTTGATGCTGATGGCCTGACTTACTCCCTGGGGTTTGAGACTTGTGATTCAGGGAGGGAAATGTGATTATGACAGGGCAGAGTTCCTCGAAGCTGAGAAGGGTGCCGGATTGAATGTGTGCAGAGTGAAGGTGCTGGCCCTGCGGGTCTTCAGGGACACACTCGCCGCTTTACTTCATCTCTGTGCACATCCCACTGTGGTGCCTGCAAAGACCGGACTAGAAAGGGGCCTCTTGGTTAGTGGGAGGCTAGGTGTGGAGGGAGCGTGCGGAAATGGGTGGTAGGTCGGGACAGTGATGAGTAGGAGTGATGGGGAGAAGAATTGGAAAGGCTGGAGCTGGGTCTGCCCTGTACACAGAAATGGAGGTGAGAGCCAGGGCCTTAGTCGCCCACTGAGAAGCAGACAGCAGGCCAAGGAGAACCCACTGACAGGGACCTAGTCAGGGGAGGTCCTTTCTTCACTCTTGAACTTGGTTCTGGTGAAGTGTAACTGTGGGGCTCTACCGTTTTGCACTGGGAAAAGGGGGAATGACTTTGCTGGGGAAACGAAAAGGGGGTGGAGATGGTCTCATGGAAGTACACCGGCGAGCTGTTTGGCTGTGTCTGAGCTCTTAGACTTCTAGTCCCAGCGTCGCTTCCTCAGAAGGGCCAGGCTCCCATGACAAGAGTGTCCACTCTGCAGCCCCTGAGCGAGGTCTTGTTAAGATGAGGCCACACCACCCTTCCCCACTTCCATGGTTATCTTCTTCAAGCATTCTTCTCTCCTGAGCAGTTTGAATTAACAGTCCCTGCTTCTGTGGAGTCATAGTCTTTTCCCTTCCCGTGCTTTCGTCCCCGGGGCAGTGGGCTCAGTGCCTCTCTTCTCGGACACTTCCCTGTCGGACCAGCTCCATTCTATAAACTGGACCCACTTCTCTGCCAGACATCACTGCATCCCTGATTTCAGTGATGCCTCAGACCCCTCTTTATGTTTCTTTTCTGCCCAGAAAAATCACTTTTTTCTCTATTGACAAGTTGCTGTGATTTTTATCCTGTTGGGTTTTGTCCTAGAGCAGTGGTTCTCAACCTTGGCTGCACATTAGAATCACCTGGGAATCTTTTTAAAGTCCTGATTTCTGGGCCTCCCAGAAATCCTCCCAGATGAGGCCCAGAAATCAGGATTTTAAAAAGATTGCCAGGTGATTCTAATGTGCAGCCAAGGTTGAGAACCACGGTCCTGGAGGAAGACTTCTCATATGTATTAACATCTTGGATAAGGATTTTGATTCTCACAAGGATTTCTCATCCTGGTGCTTGCTTGGCTCGCGGCGTGGGGGTTTTCAGGTGGTCCCGGTCCAGGCGGTTGAGAGTTGGTGTGCCAGGTGGTATATGTAGCCGATGCTTCAAGCTCCCTAAACATACAGACTATGACAGGCCACTGTCCGCAGGCATCACCTTGTTGAGTTGGTGAGCCTTCCAGAGGCGCCACAGGAAAGTAGAACAGACTCAGAGGCAAGCTTATTCAGGGACTTCCCACTCTGGGCTTTCTGGGGTGCCCCTGAAAGGCACTGGTGTCCTAAGTAGAAAGGAATGCTTTGAACAAGGGGCTTTGTCATGAGCTGCCTGCCCAACAGTTCCTCCTGTTTTGGTGGCTTTGTCTCTAGTCTGTGACTCGATGGAGTCACTCAGACTAGAGTCACAGCAGAATGGAGCTGAGAGCCCCAGAGCCCAGCAGATTGTCCAGCACAGGGCAGTGGGCCTGGTGGCAGCCAGAGGTCAGGACTGGCCAGGGGGTGTGTGTGTTGGCTTTTGGGGGTGTTTGCTGTCAGGATGTGTGAGTGCAAAGCAAACTCAAGCCTCCTTCACGGTGTCCAGAGTTCTGGGCTGAAGTGTAAACAGAATTGGTTTCTCACAAAACAAGCATTTTGAGGGCTTGGATAAAGCACCCTGCCTATTTCCATGTTACGGACACGGGGACGAGCCAGCTGGGAGAAGGTGTCCGGGTTTTACAAAAACACTGCCGGCATTGAGAAATGGTAGCTTTCTTTCCTGAGGCTCTAAGTAACATCACAGAACAGTGGGCCCAGCTTTGGAGCCTTAATCTCAAATAGACCCTAGTGTTTTCTCACATGTGAACTGGCCTCCCTGTGTGTTCTGTACACACACACCGAGGTTGGGACAACCTTTCCTGGGATCACCTCTTCCCACCCTATCCCAGTTTTTATTTTTAAAAATGTCCAACAATGGGAAAGATGGTCAATAGTAGAGTGAACAGCAGTCTACCCTCCACCTGGATTCAGCAGTTGTTCACATTTTGCCACATTTACTTTATCTCTGTATGCTTCTTTTGGCATCACTCTTTACTCCTAAGAACTTCAGTTGAGTCTCCTAAGAATAAAGGCAGTCTTCTACATCACCACAGGTTCATGATCACACATAAGAAAATAAATAACTTCGCCATGACTGGTTTGGCTCAGTGGATAGAGCATCGGCCTGCAGACTGAAAGGTCCCAGGTTCGATTCCGGTCAAGGGCATGTACCCTGGTTGCAGGCACATCCCCAGTAGGGAGTGTGCAGGAGGCAGCTGATCGATGTTTCTCTCTCATTGATGTTTCTAACTCTCTATCCCTCTCCCTTCCTCTCTGTAAAAAATCAATAAAATATATTTTTTAAAAAAGAAAATAAATAACTTCATTATATCATCTAATATCCAGTCTATATTCCTACTTCCCCAAATGTCCCAGGTCTCTGGAATTTTCAATAACTATGATCCAGTCAAGGTCCTCATATTGCATTAAGTCACTTACTCTAGCACAGTGGTTCTCAACCTTCCTAATGCCGCGACCCTTTAATACAGTTCCTCATGTTGTGGTGACCCCCGATTTCATTGTTACAAATTGAACATAAAGCATAGTGATTAATCACAAAAACAATATGTAATTATATATGTGTTTTCCAATGGTCTTAGGCGACCCCCAAAGGGGTCGTGACCCACAGGTTGAGAACCGCTGCTCTAGAACAATCTATACACACACACATGCACGCGCGTGCGCACACGCACGTATGTTCGTACGTATGTACGTGCGCTCGTGCATGCGCGCTTTTC